TTTTATTTGCGGAAATACGGTATAGGCTCTAAAGAAATCCCATACTTCAGCTCATTTAAATCCCATACTTCAGCTCATTTAAATCCCATACTTCAGCTCATTTAAATACCATACTTCAGCTCATTTAAAAGGCGTTTCAAGCCTATTTATAGGCTCAGGCCAACTCAACTGACTTTGGGAGGCCTGACAGACTTTGGAAAGTCGGTTTCTTTTCAAAAAATCAGGAAAGAACTGTTTCAAACTCCACATCAAGCCTGCAAAAGTTGATTTTCATTGCGGCTGCTTTTCTTGTTGAACTTTCAAGACTGGATTTGACCCAAACATGTGTATGACAGTGTGTTTCAGCAACCCAGTTATTGAGCACACACAAAATACCACCACTCCTTCAGGCACACTACACATGGGCACTTGTTTCATGCAAACACCCGAGGTTGATTCTGCCAACATGCTGGCTAAAGCAGCCTGTTACTTATCATGCAATTTCAAAAACCAGAAGGAAACATGAATCAGTAAGCAACAGCAAAAGGGTCAGTGCTAACAAAACATACAGAAAAGCATGGGAGGAAGATGCTAGCAAAACCTGCATAAGAACATTGGCGAATGCAAAGTACTTCATTGAATCAGCAGTCAAGAGCAAAAGGGTCAGTACCAACAAAACATGCAAAAACACGTAGGAGGATACTGCTACCAAAAAATACAGAAGAACATTGGGGATTGCAAAGTACGCTAAGGTCTAAAATGCCAATCCCAGCTGGAACAGCAAGCTGTACTACTGATGCCAGCCTTCAAAACAGCCCGGATGAAGACCAACATCACACGTGCCACATTCATAGTTAGAGCGGGCGCGTTTCCCTTGCTCTTTACAAAGGACACAATCACGCTGCGGAGTGGCTGCAGTGCTTTCTTGAATCGACCAGATGAGGTGTTTTCCAAGAAGCCTCTCTGCTGGTCGGTTTGCTACAGCGTCTGACCTTCGCCTCTTTCTTCCACTGCTACTGGCTCGCTCCTTGGCCTGGCACTCAGCCTGCATCAACTTTGTGGCAAGGGCACTCACAAACTGCAAGTGAGACTGGGTTGGCAAGGCGGTGGCATGACCTTTCATGCCTTCACGATGAATGATGTACGCGTTGCACACAGCAGTATCAATAATCCAAAAGAGAATCGAATGCCACCACTTGAGGGACTTGATCCAGCAGCTGTAGTACCCTCGCAGCTGGTCTGCCATATCAACGCCATTCATGTTGGAGTTGTAATCATGAATGACATTGCGCCTTTTCAGCTCAACGTCCTCCGTGTGCAGGATGCCAGTGTCGAGGTTTATCCTTGTTCTCTTTCTAGTGTAGACCACGTCATCTAGCTTGTGATGACCGGTTGTTATCATGGGAACTGGCTTATTGTCATAAACGGCTAGAGCAACCACATTGCGCCGGCATGCCCATTTGACGGTGCCTCGTGCTTCTTCTGCTCCTTGGCCACGGCGAACAGTCTGCTTCAGACAGTCGAGAATCCGATCTGAGCGCGCTGTACACGTGTACAGTTTGTTGTCCTCCAGCAGCTTTTCTGCCAGCAAGCAGCTTGAGTACAGATTGTCCACAAAGACATGATAGCCGTCACCTGGAAGCTGGCGCATCAGTTGATAAACAGCACTGAAAGTTTTGCTTAGGCCAGGAGTGGTGGCCACCTTGTTGTCAAACTGAAACTGGTAGGAGTAGGTGTAGCCTGTCACTGGTTCGCACAGAGCGTAGGCAAGAAATCCATCCCCAGCTCTCTTGAACTTGACCCTTGACTTGAACGCTGACCGGCCCTTGAAGGATATGTCCATTTCGTCTACTGACACACATTTGCCCGGCACAAACATCTCCTGGGAGTTGGTCAGTAGACCTGCCAGCCAAGGCCGCAACTTGTAGAGGACATCATAGTATGCTGCACCGCGCTTAGGCTCTTGTCCGCTGTCGGCCAGATGAATAAACCGCTTGATTTGCTCAAAACGTACTAGGCTCATTGTCTTTTTAACAATCTCGCTCGCAAAGTTTGGGTCGGAAGACCAGTACAGGGATATGGAGGGGTGCGGGTGTAGAGCATTGTGCAGTAGAATTCCAATCCACACCTTTAGCTCAGACACTGTCAGATCCTTCCATGGGCGTTGGTGTGGCATATCTTGCAGCACTACGCGGGCAACCCATTGGTGATAATACAAATTCGTTTGGGTCACACAAATTTTCAACATTTCTTCAGTGATGAACTTGGAAAATACAAACTCAGGATCTGCCATTTGCTCCACAGCCAGATCGCCCTTGATGCCCGGATAGCCGTTAAAAGTCGGCAGCTCATTTGTAGGCAGAACGTCAGTCCAGCCAACATTAATTTGCCGAGCTCTTCGTGCTGGCTGTTCACCGCTGCTGGCTGCCACAGCAGGAACATTCTCAACTTCATCACCGCTGCCGGTGTCCACCTCTCCATCCGACGCAAGCCCAGGAGCGCACTCTAAATCGCTGGTCGTGCCAGCTGAATCATCCGCACTCGGAACCTCCATGATCAGCTGATAGCAGGAAGTAGTCTTCGCAAAGCCTTTCAATAGGCTCTTGAAAAAAAAGCACAACTCGCTAGGCAATACCCTTCATTCTTTCTGTGAAAAAAGCGTTTCTCTCTCAGTTTTTATGGCCTACAAGGCACAGATATGTTTGTGTGGGCGCTCAGCGGCCATATTTTGCCATGGCAATGCTTCAGCCTGTGTGTGGGCGCTGTCAACATGCCCAAAGCCTATATGTAGGCTTCACCAGACGAAGGTAGGCGATATATTACTATAGACGATTATTACTATACGCGATTATTACTATACGTGATAACTGTGTATACTTAGTTATTGCAAATGAAAATGAATTTGAGAAATTGATCACTATAGCCGCCAACCTTATACTTCGAAGTAGGCGATACGAACTGTAATATAATACAATCCAAATACAAAGACAGTTGTAAGTCGTGGCCAGTGGGCTTGCTTCGTGCCTGGCGTCAGGGTGCTCTAGACAGGAATGTGTCATGCACTGCATTCACCTCTACAATGCAGTTTCCTTGTTAGTCGCTCGGCCTTGTAACCCGGGAGCTCAGAGGAATCTTCCATGATTCTTCCTGCTATGTGGAGAGAAAAGATTGTGTCCATGTGCAGGGCTCTATCAGAATCCCACCTGTACTGCACGCACTTAGAAAGCTTTTCTTGCCTTGTGACTGAGGTTTTTTACACTCTTTCTATTTCCTATCTTTTAGAATGATATCAAGCCCAGACTCATCAAAGCTGAGTGCGTGCGGGATGTTCGTCTGAGGAAACCTATGGACGTAAGTTATGCAGCATGCATGCATGTGTGTGTGTGTGTTTGTGTGTGTGTGTGTGTGTGTGTGTGTGTGTGTGTGTGTGTGTGTGTGTGTGTGTGCCAGCAAGTTAAGTTGGTGAGTGCGTTTATGACAGATAGTGGTTGAGTCTCTTGCAATCGGGCTCGGCTGCTAGGTGCGTTGCTGTGCTGCTAAAAAGGTGTATTGCTCTCTGCCACTTCTGCTTTCTCCAGCTTCCATTTACTGTCTAGAGTAAATATTCGTTGAAAACCCCTACATTTTCACAACACCCTCCAAGCGGTCTCTGGGTTACACTGATCAATGAAAAGAATAAAGGAATCCGATGTTCTGCCATCTTTGGCCGTGGCGAGAAATTCAGATTACTGTATTCTTTTTCATTGATTTGTGTAGCCCGGAGACGGCTTGGAAAGTGCTGTGAGAATTTACATGTATAGTTGTAATGGATGGCTTCATTGGAGTCTGTGCATATTGAGAAGTATTCATTGCCAATTGAGCTCTCTTTCCAGGGTTTTTTTGAATTTCTTTCCTCTCCTGGATGAGGCCGTTTGACCAAGTTTAGGGCTGTGAGCAAGGACACAAACACATGTGTGTTTGGTGTGTGTGCGCACGTGTGCGTGTGTGTGTGCGTGCATGCGTGTGTGTTGTACTTTGTTTAGACGTACAGAGAGCTGTTGTCAGTACTGTCTAGAATTGCCGGTGAACACATTCCTTGGCTGGCCAGTACTGGTACGTACTTATACTGTACTGAACTTATTCCTCGCAAACACCTTTCCTTGTACTGTATGTGCATATTTCCAGGTTTTCTGCAGCACTCTAAAATAGACCGTGCACTGCACTGCCAACGCTAGTACAGTGAAACCTGTGTAAGGCGACCACTCAAGGGACGAGAAAAACGTGGCCGCCTTGGCCAGGTGGTCTTCTTATCCAGGTCCAGTGGGTCACGTGAACATATTCACATTAATTATATCATTTTGATCAGTGTATCACACTGCACACACCTACATGTATGCTGCTCTAGCATGACTCATATGCCTGGAGTCCTGACTCCTCAGACCTGTCAAGTGTCGTGTATGCACCATGCACATCTACACTTCCTGCGCTGATGTGTAGATCTACCATGCATGGTGCACAGTACAATCCATGTACATTTACATGTACTAGCAGGGTGTAACGCGGTCGCGGGTGGGTGGTCGTCGGTAGTGTTGAGCGAGTGGTCGCCTTATCCGAGCTGTTTTAAATGTGAATGCGTCCGTGACGAGGAAAAGTGGGCGCCGAGGTCGAGTGGTCGCCGTATCCGAGTGGTCGCCGTATCCGAGTGGTCGCCGTATCCGAGTGGTCGCCGTATCCGAGTGGTCGCCGTATCCGAGTGGTCGCCGTATCCGAGTGGTCGCCGTATCCGAGTGGTCGCCGTATCCGAGTGGTCGCCGTATCCGAGTGGTCGCTGTTACAGGTTTCACTGTACATTGGTCTGTTTGAAAATGTTTGTTTGGCCTGTTTGAAAATTACTATGGCTCTTGTCACCATGGTGACATGTTACCAGTACTCTTCTGTTCACCTTGTACCCAGTGCATGTACATGTACATGTATATCCAGTTGCACTGAAAAAGGTCTTAATGGACGAAACATCTAGCTCTGTGCAGCGCTGAACGGTCTTGTATACATCTACACTCAGACCTTGTTTATCCGGGCGGTCTAGGGCCCGGGTACTGCCGTTAATAGAGAGGTTAAGTTACACGTTTTTTGCCCTTTTTCAAAACGCGGTGCAAATCTCACGTTACGTGTAATTTTTAGAGGTTAAGTTACATGTGCGACGTGACGTGAAATTTTGCCTGGCAGGATTCGGGTTTAGTTCGCACAAATATCAAATCTTCCAACAAACTTGATAAATCTCGATAAAATTCCGGAAACTCACACAAATTCGGTCGGGATAACCAAGCGAAACTTCCAAAAACTCACGTCATGAACTTACGTGCGGGACAGTCAACTCACGTAAAACACGTCAAATTTTACGTGAGTTTTTTCACTTTTTGACGTAAAAGTTCACGGACGTAAGACTTTTACGTGAAACTTAACCTCTCTATTATCTGTAACTTCAATCATGTACATGTGGATGGGTATAGCGGCCGGGGATATGGCGTAGTTTTAAAGGGGAAGTTAAGGCAAAAATTAAAATTTCACCAGTTGTAGTCTTCGGGGTGCTGAGTCGAATGGTCTTGGTCCGAGGAAGCTGAGACGCTCCCTTCCTACTTGAATCCCAATCGAACTCGCGCACTTCCACCGAAACTGGGTGACTGCGCCCTACTAGATGGGGATTTGTATGCAAAATGTCACTAAAAGCGCCATTTCGTTCTTATAAAAGCACGGATGACCACGATTGGCCCATATGTTGTAGTCTTTTGGACGCTGAGTCGACTGGTTTTGGTCCGAAAAGGCTGCGATGCAGCGTTCCTCCTTTATTCCCAATCGAACATGGTTGAACAAGCGGTCACGTGCTCCTGGGTGCCCAAATCACCTGGTCACCACGCCAGCAGGCGACAACTTTCACACCAAGGTTCAACTCGAGTTCAACTCGAGTGACAGGACTGCACCCAAAAAAGGTCAAACAAGCTAGTAAGTTGTACCCTGCAGGCACGGTGACCAGGTGACTGGCGTACGCAGGAGCACGTGACCGCTTGTTCAACCATGTTCGATTGGGAATAAAGGAGGAACGCTGCATTGCAGCCTTTTCGGACCAAAACCAATCGACTCAGCGTCCAAAAGACTACAACATATGGGCCAATCGCAGTCATCCGTGCTTTTATAAGAACGAAATGGCGCTTTTAGTGACATTTTGCATACAAATCCCCATCTAGTAGGGCGCAGTCACCCAGTTTCGGTGGAAGTGCGCGAGTTCGATTGGGATTCAAGTAGGAAGGGAGCGTCTCAGCTTCCTCGGACCACGACCATTCGACTCAGCACCCCGAAGACTACAACTGGTGAAATTTTAATTTTTGCCTTAACTTCCCCTTTAACGTCAGTATTTCCACCGAAAGTGACAAAAGAGTAGGATTATTCCACTAAAACCGGTCTAAATGGTGCCAGGCAGACCAAAGTGCCTGTTTCTTCAGTGTTCGCATAACTGAAGTATGACTGAAATATTGTTTGACCGGCAGAGATCACGAAAATTAGTGGGATCATATACTAAGAGAGTGATAAACAGCTATATCAGCACAGAGTGGTCTTGTGTACATGTATCTTGTGTGCTGTGAACAGATGGAAAGCCGGTTGATAAGAAACTTACAATGCAATATTTTGATGACATCCTTGCTGCGTACGAAGCCCTGAACCGCAATGTGTAAGTGCCTGCCATTGATTGCTGCTGCTGCTGCTGTTACCACTGCTGCTGCTACTGCCACTGTTGCTTCTGTCACTGCGGCTGCATTGGCAGCACCGCTGCTGCTGATGCTTCGGCCACCATTGCTATTTTCAGCTGCAGTTGCTTGATGGTCCTGCGGGCGATGCTGCCTTAACCACCAGTTGTCGCTGATGTGGTTGCAATTGTCGCAAAGAAGTTCCAAAGTATATTTGTGGAGACATTACAACAGTTGATCTTTACCCCAGTGATGCACGGTAGTAGCAAGTGAAGTCTGGCCTCATGTAGAGAGCAGGATCGTGGTCAGTGCGCACTGCACTGCGCACTGTGCAGTGTGCAATATGGTGCTAGAGTGATGTAGCGCCAGTGCTGCTGTTCTATTCATGAGACAAGATTCTCATTTGACACCACTGCAGTGTGCGTAGTGATGTATCTACATTTTAGAGTCTAGCGCCACTGATTCCAGTACACCAGTGTTTCAGGATGGAGCAGCTATTCCTAGAATACCGTAATGTCGCGTATAAAAGCAGTTGCTCACGGCTGTATAAGCCGGGGTTCAAACCATGCTTCTATTCAAAACATGCTTCTACATCAACATCATCAGTCTGCACTGTGCAGTGCATACTGCCACGCATGTACGTGCACACTCTTTTCAGGGAGCGGCTTCTATTCAAACCATGCTTCTGTGTCACGGCGCGCTTCACAAAATCGGCTTCTATTCGAGTCATGCTTCTCAACAGGTCATGTCTTTATACGCGACACTACAGTATGTGCTGGGACTGGGAGTGCTTGCCTGTACGCACTGCATCACTCAACGATATATGTGGGTCCCTATAACGGGTCGGTCCCTATAGCAGGTCTGCTCCCTATAGCAGGGCGGGTTTGACCAAAAAAGGAAGTCATGCAAGTGCACACATGACGTCTTGACTGGGTCCTCTGAGCGCAAGGAACAGGCCTGCTGCTGGGTCCATCATATATTCCAGGAATTTTGCCATGAAAGCAATTCATTTGAGCAACACACTCTGGCTTCATGTACTCCTGGTGTTATGAGTTCCTGTTATCCGTTGTTTCAAGTCTTTAATCTCACGTTATTGCTGTTCTTGTTGTTGTTGTTGTTGTTGTTGTCGTTGTCGTTGTCGTCGTTGTCGTCGTCGTCGTTGTTGTCGTCTTTGATATTTGTAGGTCATTGACAGATGGCAGCATGGATACTTCTGACTTGAGCAGTAATGTTCTTGCTCGTATCAACCAACAGGCACTTGGAACGAAACCATTACACGTGGTAAGGTCTCTCTCTCTCTCTCTCTCTCTCTCTCTCTCTCTTTCTCTTTCTCTTTCTCATTCTCTCTTTCTATCTATATGGGAACACAGCAATGCATTGCGTGAAACTGTAAAAAAAGTGTTAATGAATCGTTCTGGCTGGACAACACTGCCTGCCCCACTACCACCCCTTGGTATTGGTCTTGAGAACTGTGTGAGCCTTAGAAGCTGCCTACTGTGTAACCAGTAACTGCAGTCTCTCTTTTAGCTGACAAACAGGTGAAAAGGGGAGCCACTACACAGGAAGATCAATTTCATTGCTGAGCTACTTGGTGGTCCAATGCATTGTTTTCAGTGTCGTCAACTCTGTCTGTGTGAGATTACCCTGCTCTGCCCGTGTGTCAATACCATACTTTGCTGCCTGTGTGTCGGCATCATACTCTGGTGCCTGATTCTGGACTGCTTTAGTCCAGCCTTGATTCGTCTGCATTGTGTCATGTTAGGGAGCAACATCAACTGATGGTGCACCCGTATACCTCCTAGCATCTTTATTTGAAGTACAGTCAACTTCGCTAATAATGACTGCGGATATAACGACAATTCGCGAATAGCGACAGAATTTCCATGCCCAGAGCAAAGTCCCATCTATCTGTAATACATGATATGTATTATATTATAATGAGACTTCGGGTATAAGGACACTTCGCGAATAAGGACACTTTTCTGATGCCCCGCCGAGTGTCGTTATACACAAAGTTGACTGTAATGTTACAGGGTCATTCAAGTGCGCAATCTCCCAATTTTCCCGTACTTCATGTACTGACTGGTGATGACACACAGGCTACTTGCATCTCTCTGGTCTGTGACAGTGTTGTGTGTGTGTGTGTGTGTGTGTGTGTGTGTGTGTGTGTGTGTGTGTGTGTTGTGTTGTGTGTGTGTGTGTGTGTGTGTGTGTGTGTGTGTGTGTGTTGTGTGATGTCTTGTGTGTTGTGTGTTGTATGTGTGTGTGTGTGTGTGTGTGTGTTGTATGTTGTGTGGTGTCTTGTGTGTTGTTGTGTGTGTTGTGTGGTGTCTTGTGTGTTTTTGTGTGTGTTGTGTTGTGTATTGTGTTGTGCTGTGTATTGTGTGGTGTCTTGTGTGTTGTGCTGTGTATTGTGTTGTGCTGTGTGTTGTGTACAGCCCACTCATATGACTAGCAGTGAACGCCGGCGGTCAGAGCGGATCCAGGATTTGAAATACTCTGTGGCTGAGTTCAAGGTTCACCTAGCCTCGTGAGTGCATGGATGTGTTCACTGTTCGGTATTGCACCATTCCAGGGGGGGGGGGGTTAAGCCTTGCTACAGTGCTAGTTCCTGCGTCTCACAGAGTGGGGGAGGAGCACTGGGTTAGCCTGTGCATTGTTTTTTTTACGTCGCTGCATACATGATGTACCGCATTGTCTAGTGCCATCATTTATTTACTCAACTGTTGAGCTGGACCAACATTGCTCTCTGCTCTTCAGGACCTGAATGCATGTGATTTGTACCGTATTTCCCCGAATATAAATGGCACCCTTTTTACACTCAACTTCAGGGCCAACAAAGTGGTGCGACTTACAATCGAGCATGACTCACTACTGAAGTGAATATTGAAACAATAATGACATGGACCAGAAAATGGGGAAGTGACTTACAATCGGGGAAATACGGTACTTCACAGTGGTTTGTTTAGTTGAACTATGCCCTGCACGGAGGTTTTTTGGGGTGAGATGTGCTGGGTGGGCTTTCCATGCTCATGGTTGTAGACATTAAAATCGCCTGCCACGACAATGTGGGAGCAATACTGGCAGGCAATGTCAATATCGGATTCGAGCTGTGTGAACATAGTCGTGTCGTGGTCAGGGCAGGTTCCAGGCCGGTAAGCTGCACATCCTGCCATTCGTGTTCCTGTGTGGGTGGTGATGCTGACCCATAGAATCTCCTGGTTCGCAGTGTTTATACTAAAAGTTCTTTATAGCGGATACAAATCTTCAGCCAGATGGCAACACCTCCGCCCTGTGCCGTTCTGTCCCGACGTATAGGTGGATAGTGACCTGGAATTGTTACCTCTGCTTGGGTGGCTTTCTCCGGGGAGAGCTTTGTCTCTGTGATGATGGCTATGTCCACATCAAGGTGTGTTAGCAAGTGTTGGAGTTCTCCAATTTTGTTGTAGACGCTAAAGGCGTTTGTCAGCAGTAGGCGTAGCGGTTTGGCACACATCATGCTTGTTGGCAGCCGTCTGTTGCGCAAGCAGGTCTGGTCTAGCTGCGGGTAAGAACTTGGCTCTGTCCTGTGGCCGCAGGTTCACAGGCATCATTCAGGGCCTTGTTGGCTCGCAGGGTACTACCGTCGTCTAGTTCGGATAGGGGGGGGTTACAAGACCGCCCTTCCCTGCTGTTGGAGGGAGGGCAGGGAAGTCGACATGGCTGCTTGTGTCTGGCGGCGGTGGGACGCTGCCACTGTGCGCATCCTGCGTTCCCGCGGCTTCGTTAGACTGTGCTTCGTTTTCCGCGTCAGTGTCCCAGTTTGGAGCTGTGCTAGAATCTTTGGTTTTGTTGCCATCATTCTTGGGGAATCCCCATGCACGACTATACACCCTCCCAGGCCATAAGTTGCGAGCCAAGAGGTTGTGTGCATCCTTAGTGTTGACCGAGACCCTCGCTGATAGGGTATTGCGTTCAGCATTGTTGGCTGTTACCGCCATTCCCACGGAATGCACAGTGGGGGGCTTTCCCAGAGATGTGGATCGCTTCAGGATGAACTCATCCAGACCAGCTTCTGTGGCGTCCGCCTTTACATTGGCCACGAATATGAACGTTTTGCAGGGTCCACGTGGCTTGACTGCTGTGACGAGTGTCCAAGAGTCATCAGACACAACCATAGGCAGCACAGTCCCAGTTAGGGCTTCACTTGTCTGTGGCACAGGTTTGCTAGAAGCAGGTTGCATGGCTTGTGTTCCAGCCAGCAACGGCAAGAAAGCCTAAAACGGTGTGTTTGCTGTCGTTTGCCTGCACAAACCAATCACGGAGCTAGCTTGAGCATACGGTGAAAAGGAAGAGGTGCTCGTCACCAGAAATACGTCTCCAAGTGTGTTGCTACTTGCTAGTGTGTGTACAGTTGCGCTTGATGAAATCCGACCCAGAGTGCATATTTGATGCCCTCGACTTGCACACCCTGGAAGTGGTACGAATCTTGTCCACTGATCTGAGTGACGTGAATGACACCCAGATCACGTACAGATCCTGTCCACTGGTTGTTGTTATAGGACGAATGTCAACTGGTGCACATCCAGTGCACTTGCGTATGTTGTACTTGTTGTGAGAGCATGTCTCTATGCCTTCATTGCACATACAGTCATGCTGATACACCATGCGTGTGTGCCCGTGTGTCTCTGTGCGTTTGTGCATGTGTGTTGGACTGTTTGTGCATGTGTGCTTGTGCATGTGTGCCTGTGCATGTGTGCTTGTGCATGTGTGCCTGTGCATGTGTGTTTGTGAATTTGTATGTTTGTGGTCTTATCCAGTCATTGCCAGTCATCCTCGGTATGTACTTTGAAAGCAACAGCGAAGGCTGACGACCTACAGAGTCCGACCGATATCGTTTCCAACATGGTGAAATTCTCCGAAGGGCAAATTCGCAGCTGCTTGGCAATGGCCCATGAAACAGATGCACATTGTAGTACTGCAGTGTCTTCAGCTAATCCTGCTTCAGACACAGGCCTGCCTGTTGCTGCTCCTGCTGTTGCGCCTGCTGCTTCTACTGCCACTTGCACTGACGAAGAAGTGCAGATGACATTACACAAGCGTGCCGAAGGCTGCAAGTGTTCTTTAGCCGAGCCGGTGTTGCAAGTCAGGCAATGGCTTATCCAAGGAATATCAGAGGTAAGACAGGCAGACAGACAAATAGGGAGAGAGAGAGGGGGGGGGGGGGGTAGATGGATAGAAATGAGAGGGGAAATGAAACTGAGGAAGTGATTGAGTGAGCGAATGAGTGAATAAATGAGTTTGACAGTCAGAAGCAAGCGTGTGGGTTAGAGCACATTTGGTCACATTTGACGTTATTTTGGAGGTTCCAGAACTTGACAACATAATACTAGAGTGAATGTGTACTTGGCTTTGCTTTCAAGTAACAACACACCACACCTGTTCATGAGGTAGTTAGTGTCATGTTCTACAAGTGTATGTTGCCTAGGAATCAAGTATATCTCAGCAGACTGGAGTGCTAAAGGGGAAGTGCATAGATGTTTCAAGTAGGGTTCGGATGAAAGACGATTTGATATCAGTTCGAATGGCATATCTCTCGCTTGCATACGATAAGCCAGATTTCTTTTTACTATTAAACGGGGTTTATGTACTATTCGGACTCGTTATAATGAGGGAGGACCTCTACCTCTACTTGAAACATAGTCCTCATTCTCATGTTGCGCCAAGTCATTTTTGCAACATTGTGTATGTACTGTGCTAGGTACCATTGTTGTCTTTCTCTCCTTTCAGAACTCTCTCTCTCCTCTCAATCTGTCGAGTTTCTTGTCTTTCTCAGCAAATGTTAGCAGTGTCATTTGTCATGTTCATCTCGTGTCTATGTGTATGCCAGGCTGATATCTATGCCGATCCAGAGTGCACTGTCAATCTTGTAGACCAGCCTTCTACTATACCAGTAAGTGAACCATGCTGCTACTGCTGCTACTGCTGCTCCTGCTGCTCCTGCTGCTACTGCTGCTACTGCTGCTGCTGCTGGTACACCTGTCACTGTTTGGTGCTTCTGTTGTGACTGCCTCCGGCACCGATACTACCTCCTTTCATCACTACTCCTGCCATCGCTGCTACATGTTCTGTCATTGCTGCCACCACGGCTGCTGATGCTGCTGTTGCCGCCGCTGCTTCTGTTGTCTGCTGCTACTGGATGCCTTTTCTCCCGCCGCTGCTGCTTTTGCTACGACCACCACTGCCCTCGATGTTGCTTGCTGCCATAGTCAGTGCTGCCTGCTGCCCTCCCTGTTGCTTGCTGCCATAGCCAGTGCTGCCTGCTGCCCTCACTGTTGCTTGCTGCCATAGTCGGTGCTGCCTGCTGCCCTGGCTGTTGCCTGCTGCCATAGTCAGTGCTGCCTGCTGCCCTCACTGTTGCTTACTGCCATAGTCGGTGCTGCCTGCTGCCCTGGCTGTTGCCTGCTGCCATAGTCAGTGCTGCCTGCTGCCCTGGCTGTTGCTTGCTGCCATAGTCAATGCTGCCTGCTGCCCTGGCTGTTGCTTGCTGCGTGCTGGCTGCTGCCCTCCCTGTTGCTTGCTGCCATAGTCAGTGCTGCCTGCAGCCCTGGCTGTTGCTCGCTGCCATAGTCAGTGCTGGCTGCTGCCCTCCCTGTTGCTTGCTGCCATAGTCAGTGCTGCCTGCTGCCCTGGCTGTTGCTTGCTGCCATAGTCAGTGCTGCCTGCTGCCCTCCCTGTTGCTTACTGCCATAGTCAATGCTGCCTGCTGCCCTGGCTGTTGCTTGCTGCATGCTGGCTGCTGCCCTCCCTGTTGCTTGCTGCCATAGTCAGTGCTGCCTGCTGCCCTGGCTGTTGCTTGCTGCCATAGTCAGTGCTGGCTGCTGCCCTCTCTGTTGTTTGCTGCCATAGTCAGTGCTGCCTGCTGCCCTGGCTGTTGCTTGCTGCCATAGTCAATGCTGCCTGCTGCCCTGGCTGTTGCTTGCTGCGTGCTGGCTGCTGCCCTCCCTGTTGCTTGCTGCCATAGTCAGTGCTGCCTGCTGCCCTGGCTGTTGCTTGCTGCCATAGTCAGTGCTGGCTGCTGCCCTCTCTGTTGCTTGCTGCCATAGTCAGTGCTGCCTGCTGCCCTGGCTGTTGCTTGCTGTCATAGTCAGTGCTGCCTGCTGCCCTGCCTGTTGTTTGCTGCCATAGTCAGTGCTGCCTGCTGCCCTGGCTGTTGCTTGCTGCCATAGTCAGTGCTGGCTGCTGCCCTCCCTGTTTCTTGCTGCCATAGTCAGTGCTGCCTGCTGCCCTGGCTGTTGCTTGCTGCCATAGTCAGTGCTGCCTGCTGCCCTCCCTGTTGCTTACTGCCATAGTCAATGCTGCCTGCTGCCCTGGTTGTTGCTTGCTGCATGCTGGCTGCTGCCCTCCCTGTTGCTTGCTGCCATAGTCAGTGCTGCCTGCTGCCCTGGCTGTTGCTTGCTGCCATAGTCAGTGCTGGCTGCTGCCCTCTCTGTTGTTTGCTGCCATAGTCAGTGCTGCCTGCTGCCCTGGCTGTTGCTTGCTGCCATAGTCAATGCTGCCTGCTGCCCTGGCTGTTGCTTGCTGCGTGCTGGCTGCTGCCCTCCCTGTTGCTTGCTGCCATAGTCAGTGCTGCCTGCTGCCCTGGCTGTTGCTTGCTGCCATAGTCAGTGCTGGCTGCTGCCCTCTCTGTTGCTTGCTGCCATAGTCAGTGCTGCCTGCTGCCCTGGCTGTTGCTTGCTGTCATAGTCAGTGCTGCCTGCTGCCCTGCCTGTTGTTTGCTGCCATAGTCAGTGCTGCCTGCTGCCCTGGCTGTTGCTTGCTGCCATAGTCAGTGCTGGCTGCTGCCCTCCCTGTTTCTTGCTGCCATAGTCAGTGCTGGCTGCTACCCTGGCTGTTGCTTGCAGCCATAGTCAGACAGTGCTGGCTGCTACCCTCGATGTTGCTTGCTGCCATAGTCAGTGCTGCCTGCTGCCCTCCCTGTTGCTTGCTGCCGTAGTCAGTGCTGCCTGGTGCCCTCGCTGTTCCTTGCTGCCATAGTCAGTGCTGCCAATGCTGCTATCGTTTCTGCCACCACCATTGCTGCTTGTTGCCGCTGGTGTTGCGGCTGCTTGCTACCTATTCTGCCCCTGCTGCTGCTGTTGTTGCTACAACTGTTGTTCCTGCTGCCAATTCCGATGCTGCTGCTTGCTGCTGCCGCCCACTGCTACTACCACCACTGGCTATACCTGCTGCTGTCCCCGCTGCTACTGCTGCTTCTGCCTCTGTTGTCGTCAGTGCAGCTGTTGTCGCCACTGCTGCTGCTTTCTGCCATCACTGCTGTTGTTGTTGCTGCTGCTGTTTGCTGCCTCTACTGTCCCTACAGCAGCTCTTGCTGCTAAAAGGTTTTTTATTGAACGCACAAAGCAATGATATGAATGCAAGGAGAGCAAGGAATTCAAAAGCTGAACGGCAAAATTGAATGATAAAAATGTGAATGGCAACAGCAATGTTTATACACATGAAAAAGGGGAAAGAAAGATTTAAAAAAATTCCAAACCAAAGCTCTTGCCGCTGCCTCCGCCGTCTCCCCTGTTGGTGACATCATTTGTACTTCTGCTACCACTATTGTGGATGTCGCTGCTGCTGCTGCTGCTGCTGCTGCTGCTTGCTGACACCACCAAGGCTACATGTTGCGTTGCCCCCCCCCCCTCAGCTCTCACCACTGCTACTACTGCCACCATTGTTTCTGCTTCCATTTCTTCTTGGTGCCACTGCTGCTGCTGCTGGCCCCAGCCACAACTAGCGCTAATGCTTTTACTGGTGGCGCCATTGTTCTTCCGATGCTCTTTCAATGGCTCTGAATCCAAGTCTTATCTTTCCATTATCCCGTCCATTGCTTCCTATGTGCTGTTGCTGTGTGTTTTGGTGTTGATGTAATTACTCAAAGTGCTTCTGGTCACTTAGATAGCAATCATGGTGCATTCTTGCACCCCGGACACGATTGCGTTTTGAGTTTTGTTTTGGTTTGTTTTAATTTCCATGAGTTGTGATGGGTCGAAGACGTAAGCCTGGTGATGGAGGGCAAAGGGAAATTGCAGAACCGCTATGCAAACTGTGCACACCAGACACTGGAACAGTGTGTTGTTTCCCCATGAGCTATTGTGGAATTTGTTCCAATGTGTATTTATGCTGTTTGCAGGGCCAACGACCAGTGGCTGCAATTCTGGGTTTTGAAGATTCTTGTTGTGGGTCCCAGTTACGTTTGGGACGCGAAAGTGTAGTATGGTTTGAGCCTCAACAGTGCTGGGATTGCGCTTTGTATATCTGGTGTTTCAACTTATTGTGTGTGTGTGTGTGTGCGCGCACGCGCGTTTATGTATGTGTTCTTGTGCGTGTGTCTTGGTGTCTACCTATTTGCACATGTGTGCGTGTACGTACCTATATTTTCTATGTTGGACTGCAGACAGAGTTTGATTTACGTGAAGAACTTGACAATGATGATATAGCCGATGAAGAGTTACCAGGGTTTGTGCGCTCAGCGGGCGAGGTGAGTGGCATGTTAACCTTAGTTCATAATTGACTTGCGGTTTTTCCAGCTGTGCTGCTACCCACCGTCACCTGGGACCTTGTGGCCAGGCACAAGGGGTACATGGATGCGGCTTATGGGATTTCTCGGCACTTGTGTCAGTGGTTGTGAGACGTATCCCCTCACCCCCACCGTTAGGTGCTGCATCTGCCGCTAGGGTTTACCGGGTGTTAGCAGCCGTTGTGAGTTCCCTTCGGGAACGGACACGATAATTTACTCTCTTTTAAAAATTTTACTTGGTCCGGCTCATCGCAATTGTGGCTTGTCGATCACCAGTAAGAACTTACATTTGACTTGATGTCCAGGACAGTACATTGTAAACTTTTAAGAGGCATGATTATACTGTAGCGCCGTGTTGCATACCGATCGTCGCTATTACACTGCTCTCCTGTACGCTCAAATTGGGACTACCCATGCGTACGGGCATGTGTATGCACCATAGCATTACTCTGTGCAAGCATCTCTTACCTGCTGAGTTGCTTTCCTCGTGCTTGTGTATGTATTGCTTCTCATGGACACTGCATGAAAGCACATGTTGTTGACCCAAGTAACTTACATGTACTCGTAGCTCAGTCTAATCAATACGTGTGCCACCATCACCACTACTACTACTGCCGCTGCCGCTGCTGCTGCTGCTGGTAGTATTGTCACCGCTAGCCAATCTGAATTTGTTCTTTTGTCATATGTACATGCAGGCAGGATGTAGAAAAAAGTCAGCTTTGCTCTAAGATGGGAACATGTGTTTTATTGCACTGTGCTATACTTTCATGTGCTTGTGTTCCATCGTGTCTCTTGTACAGATCAAGGCTATCGTTGGGTTAGATCAGTCTCAAGCTACATGACCAGCAACTCTGCTCCAGCCGTTGGGTTAAACCAGTCTGCGGAGCTACATGACCAGCAACTCTACTCCAGCCGTTGGGTTAGATCAATCCCCGGAGCTACATGATCAGCAACACTGCTCCAGTCGCTGGGTTAGATTAGTCCCCGGAGCTACATGATCAGCAACACTGCTCCAGTCGCTGGGTTAGATTAGTCCCCGGAGCTACATGATCAGCAGCAACACTGCTCCAGCTGCTGAGTTAAACCAGTCTGCGGAGCTACATGATCAGCAACACTGCTCCAGTCGCTGGGTTAGATCAGTCCCCGGAGCTACATTATCAGCAGCAACACTGCTCCAGTCGCTGGGTTAGATCAGTCTCCGGAGCTACATGATCAGCAGCAACACTGCTCCAGCCGTTGGGTTAAACCAGTCCGCGGAGCTCCATAACCAGCAACACTGCTCCACAGTCGCTGGGTTAGATTAGTCCCCGGAGCTACATGATCAGCAGCAACACTGCCGCCGCAAGAATACCAGTACCGGTTCAACATCATCACACTTTGCCGTGTGGGTTGCAGTCTGATGCTCTAAGCCACCAGCCGCATGTGTGTGTGTCTGTATATGTGTGCCTGTGTGACCAGAGTTATGTGTGGTCGGCATGTGTTTGTAGGCAGTACACTACCTAAGCGAGTGTGCTGCAATGCTGGTAATCATGCGGAGCAGCAAAGCCGAGCACATCTCTTCACCTGAATTAAACAGGCGGCGCTGGTTATAAACTTATAATGGTTGCCTGAACTTCCTGTTCTTGGACCTAGCCTATATATAAACTCTGCCGCATTGGTGCCAGTTGTCGTCATTGTGATTTGCGGATGGGGTCAGCGTGGCGGTGCCCAATGTCTACAGTGTATATGACGTCATTCGCCCAATAGACTGGCAACGTGTGGAGGATGCTTGCAGCATGCGTGGAGGACGTGTGCAGAGTATGTACAACATGAGTGAGCAGAGTACATGCCACATGACGATGCGGACTGTCGAGTATGTTGTACCACACGACAATACGGATTGCAGAGTACGTGCCTCACGACAATACGGATTGCAGAGTACGTGCCACACGACAATACGGATTGCAGAGTACGTGCCACAAGACGATACGGATTTCAGAGTATGATTATACGTTGAAGTACCGTACAATGTTATTCTGTACTGCTGCTACCAGGACAGCACTGCTGCTGCCACCGCTGCTGCTACTGCTGCTGCTACTGCCACTGCTGCTGCTACTGCCACTGCTGCTGCCACTGCCACTGCTGCTGCTACTGCCACTGCTGCTGCCACTGCCACTGCCACTGCTACTGCTGTTGCTGTGCCCTGGGTCATGTGTGGACACTGTTTAAAGTCCAATAGCAATGGCGCTGCTGGCACTGCTGCTGCACTACCTAGCACTGTGGACCCCTTTTAGCCTAGTCTGTGTTTTAATGCCGAACTAACGAATGTCTCCACAAAGACTCTTTTATGTTTTTAAATATATAGTTTTATGTTTTTACGAACCGAATGTCCTCTCTCTCTCTCTCTCTCTCTCTCTCTCTCTCTCTCTCTCTCTCTCTCTCTCTCTCTCTCTCTCTCTCTCTCTCTCTCCTCCAGGATCTTGTATTCTTGAAAGATTTTTTTCTATCAAATTGTCAGCTGAATGTATTCACACTGGTGATTAGTGTGTTGGACAGTGTCCTGAATGACTTTGTATGCGTATGCCAGTCTGGTACATGTACAGCAGTACATGTATGCCATGTGTGCATTCACCACCGCTGCATGCGGGCGGTGGATCAAGTGTCAGTTCGCTCAGCATACGGCGTTCTAACTTCTAAGTACTTGTAGACATCATGTCGGGCATCGGAAATCATGCCAAGACAATATTGATCATACAGTACTCGTATGGTCGAATTTCGGAGAACCAGAGCACTAGATGATCAGACCTTGGCCGGAGGAACCAGTGAGTAGTACAATACCATTCTACACTGTATACTATCAAGAGTACATAACCCCCCAGAGTGTGCAACTCCCACATACCCTGTTGTCCCGACAGAATTTCAAGTTGACGTCATTATTTATGACGCAATGCTCCTTGCAGCAGTGATTTACAACATGTGTACGGGTGTCAACGCATCACACGTTTTTCTTTGCAATCATTTGTACAGGATCGATCGGCTTCGGTCAACCACAGGTTCCGGATTCGTCTGATAATCCGTGTACAGTGCGCATTGCATCATCAAAATGACGTCAACTTGAAATTCTGTCGGGACAGCACCCATAGTGGAGTTGCACACTCTGGGGGGTTATGTACTCTTGATACTATGCATAGTGTACTACATGTACTCCCTGGATGGGACCATGGTAGCTTGGCCCTCTGTGATATCCATTACTGAGGGTAGTACCACTGTGGCCGGTTTATCTGCATCTGACACTGGGATGAGCACCGACCTCCTGGTGCCCCCCCCCCCCACACACACATATACAGGAGGACATCATGCATTGTGTAGTATGTTAATGTAGGAGTGTGATAACAAACAATCTGTGTATATTCCACTGGCTTTAATACAATGCAACATTCATGCATGCTCTGTCGTCGACCACTACAAATTGCCTTGCTTCAACAGGCAAATAATGCAATGTTTGTGGGAAAACACGCTACTGGTTGAGGTTCAGCTCTACATCAACACAAAGAGTTGACATATCCCAAAGAATATTATGTTATGCTCAATGCTCAAGCAAAGAAATCTTGTGGAATTTGTGATTTTCCCGGGTTCTGGATACGGCAGTTTTCTGACAGTGGCTTGCTGCCAAATATGTATGATGTGTAGCACCAGCCACATGCGCATTCTCTGTGCGGTGCGTGCCAGAATAATATTCTGGCACACGTAACGATGTTCATCTCTGTAGGCCGGGTAGAAGTCGGAATCCAACCCCCCTATCGCCACAGGGCAACATGCTTGGATTTTCTGCACTCACGAACGCACTGACATGCAAGCGCTCACGTCAATACACTTTTCACACCAGCAAGGAGAGCATGGTTTTAGTAGCTCAGTGCTCATACAGCTCTAAACTAAAAGTCTGTTTGCCATGCAAGACCGGCCTTCAGATATGAGAGGCGGAGCAAACTCATCAGCAGAATGATACGCGTTACAGCAGGCAGATACTGAGATACGTTTGAAGGCAGGCCAGGAATAGCAAGTAAGCTTTACAGATCCACTGCAGGTGTGTGTTCAATGATAAGTATCAGTAAAGTTGATAATAGTGGTCATAAAATTTAATAATGTTGAAAGAAAGAGACGATAGTGAAGTGATTTATTGAAACACAATAGAGCTGTAAAGAGGGAGAGAGACACAGGGAAAGATCATCAACTTATGGTGTGCATGTTTGAAGCCCAGTCCAGGGGTGTCCGTCCATTTTGCCTTTCAACGAAATACATGGTTCAGCATCGCACGCACGAACGCCGGAAAAACAAATAGCGCTCAAGTTTACATTACCCCAAGACTAGAGTACACAACTGCCTGTACAGCCTCTATCCAGTGCTGCGACGGCAGAACATCCCATTACATGACATGGTTCAATAGGTTAAGAAAGTTGAACCCAAAGCAGGGTTGCGTACAACCCTGTAACTATCATGCAAATGGTGTAAATAATGTGCTTGGCATGCGACGTTCTGCCGCCGCAGACCCCATAGCTGGAGTTGCACACTCTTGGGGATTATGTACTCTTGCTACAATGTATAATTGAGAGGATCACTCTAGTCCCTAGGTCAGCGGTAAATGATGAGACGCAATACTAGCTCAGATTTAAAAATAAAAAGCGGTTTTATTTGGTACACGCTGAATGTTGGCACATTAGCCAATACTCGGAATAGCGCAGTGGCCCTGCACAGCTCTATAAACAGCTATCATGCAGCAGCAGCAACATCTATGAAAACGGTCTATTATAGTCTAACTATACATTTCACGCTGGGAAATCTAATCTATAATTGCTATAACTGCTGTTCGGACGTCTGAAAACAGCAATATTGTGTATCTAGCCTTTCTAGGGAAGGCAGTAATTCAGTATACAGACAACCCCCACACACAGTGTCCGTAATACTACTTTACATTGGTTGCCAATTAAACCAACGATTCAAGCGCATATCATACCACTCTGCCGTGTTGAGGTAGGCACGACCGTCGTATCCGCCGAAAACAAAGATGTTGCCCATCGCGCCCATCTCCGCCATTGTGACCATGCCGTGGTTTGCACGCGGTCGAGTCATTTCCGTGAGTTGTCGCCACTTGCCCTGGCGCGTATCTAGCATTTCCATACTGGATAGAACGCTGCCGTCACACATACCACCGGATGCGAAGAGATTGCCATTGAGGACAGTGGATGCTGAGGAGTGGCGCGGTGTGGCCAGTCGTGCACCACATGGCGTAGACCATCTGTTACTGCCAATGTCGTAGACGTCCACGGTGTCCAGTGGAGATTGAAATGACTCGTACAGACCACCCACTACATACACGCGCTCCGTGTTGACAAGCTGAGCCGTGCAGCAAGAACGTGGCATGGACATGCATGCAGCGCTACTCCAGCTGTCTTCTGACACGGTGTAAATCTCGGCCGAGCTCGTGTACATACCACCGTGGCTTCTCCCGCCAGCAGCTATCAGTGCCTTGCTTCCTGTGTCGAGAGGAGCAAGCGCGAAGTCCAGACGACTGGTGCTCATGGGAGATAGCCACGTGGGTACTTGGTGCCTCTCGGTAGCAAAGAGAGAACGCTGATACTTGAGAACAGAGCGATCATTACACTTGGGATGTGCGCATGGATGGTAACTTCCGCCCACGCAAAGCACACTGTCATCATCATCATCTAATAACACACCTTGGCCGTGCGACCAACCGTACCTTACAGCATCGGTATGCTCCTGCCAGCGGTTATTTGCTATGGAGTACGTCGCTGCGGTGGTCAGCAAATTCTGCCTATTGTTGCCACCGAAGGAGCAGATTGTGTTGCTTCTGTCACAGAGAGTAGCACCAGGACACAGACCAGTCACTTTGGCCTGGACCGTTCTTGCAAACTGAGCATCGTCTTGGCTGTCATCATCGAAGACGCCGCCATCAACTATGAATCCAACACCGTCTATTTCCTCGTACGTCGGTAACTTCTCACTGGCTTTCGGTGTGGAGCACAAGATCTTGCTGCTGCCACATTCCACAGGGCTATCCAGGCAGTCGTCCAACCAATCTAGACCAGTGCGTACATACATGCGCACTAGCTTCTCCTCCACACTTACGATGGCATTTGGGCCACCCAGAAGAAGCACCAGGTGGAAGTCTGGGAAGCGCTCTGTCTTGCTCAAAGACAAACGCATGCTTCTTGCATGAGCATTGGCATCTATGCCATAAATGCCAGAGTCATTTGAAGTACTTGGCAGCGTTTGAAATTCAGGATCATGAGCCAGGGATGCCTCCGTGTCCGGAAACAGACATCGGGGACGAAGTGGCAGGCTGCTTTGATCATGGTCAGCTGTAGCGTCGTTGTCTCCGGCAGCAGCTGATCCAGGTACTGATTGCTCGCTACGCGGCTCGGTTGCTTGGCTCGGAATTGCATCCCTTTGTAGTGCTGCAGCCCGTGCTCGTCTTGAGACTGGCGAGACGGGCGAGGTAGCAACAGTATGCAGAGCAGTGTGGCTCCCGCACAATGCTGCTGGCGTGACATCCATACTGAAAGTATGGATGTTATCTCGGTAGGATTTGGACACATGGGCACTAGGCCGCCGGCTTTTTGGGGCAAACCGTTCGCGCAGCTTTCCGCATGCATACAGCATGAGCTCTTCTTTGCTCGGGTATGGACCGTTACCAGTGAGGTCTATGTCCACTGTGAGGTCTGGTAAACGACACGTACCAGTCCAAGAACTCATATGGTGTAACACGTCGCTCAAAGCTGGCCCGTTCCCATCGCGAACTGTACGATGGTAGGTATCAGCCAGGCCGTCGTGGTTGTGTCGCGCAGCCAGTACATCGTCATTGGCAGCAGCTACCGCGTCATCCATGTTATTGCTGTTGATTTTCATCTTACTTCGCAAGGCCATGATCCTGATAAGGACAAAAAGGACAACATGGAATCCCATTATTATTAAAAGAAAGGTATTCCAACATCCTACAGTCGTGGCAAGTGAAATCCGACACTTAGCATAAGGGATTGCACCATGCATCCTGCACTGGGACCTGCAGCCCTGCATACGTGGTACATGTGTTACATACGACTTTTATCTGCCTCATCACAGAACTCTCGTACTCATCACAGGCAAGGTTCACAGTCAAGGTTCAAACGGTGCTGGCAAAAATGAATGAGGATTGGATACCAATACTCCTTATGTGTACCATGTTTGTGAACTGTGTGTATCTACGCTGTGACCTTTCGATCTGTTTGTGATGCATACAGCTCCATATCAAGAGTACATAAACCAGAGTGTGCAACTGTGCATATCAGATCTGAAACAGCGCAGTTCGTGCACTACGTCACCCTGATGAGGTCAGCCAAGCCGCGACTTGCGTACAGCTCAAATTTTATGATGTTTCATAGCCCGGAAATCAGCCAAGTTTGCTTGATTTTAGACGTCCTGTTTCAGGAATTCGGTGTTTCGTGTGACTGTGTACGCTGCGTACATCCACCGGCAAGTAAAGTCACCAGGCTATCCGTCTCAAAAAACCGAAATCAGGACAACCTCAGTGACCTGCACCACCGCGACTGGTTACGCAACTTTTCACCGTACCTGTGGCTTACCATGCCGTCAGAAATGACGGTACTGCACGAATTACGCTTCCACAGGAACCATCCCGAGTTGCACACTCTGGTTTATGTACTCTTGTCCATATGCATAGTACAAATTAGGTGCAGTGCATTACATCATTGGTGTCCATTTGAGGCGCTGTCCCCTATGGTAGGTGTGGGATTTCACTTGCTACAACTGTACATGTTATCCATAGTTTTCACCTAAATGTTATTATAATGATGTCGTTTTTAGCAGAGGTAGAATCTACCCTGACATTGTCAGATTTCTCAGTTTCTTTCCTTACCGTTGTGTTCAAGCGAAACGGATAGGTCCAACGTTGTCCGAGTGGATGCTTGGCAGCCTGCACACGCTAGTACTTGACTATTATACCGTACTGCTATCAGCTGAGGGTATCACTGCACGATAGAGGCAATTACTATTTCTACTCCACTGTCACAACGCCTCACAAACTGGCAAAGGACGAAAGCAGGCCACAGGAGCACAACTAAAAAGAGCAACGATTTTCTTGTCCGCTACTACTAACGTTAGTACTATTATGCCATGCCCTCAGCTCTAAACACAAGCATTTATGCCGATCTCAGACCACCTGTGGCCCCCTGGTAGCGAGCATCTAGCGCCTGCGCCTGGAAATGGCGAGGATGAGCAGGACACGTAGACATAATAATAACTATCTACACATGAGCAAACCATCATTCTACTAATCCTTGCTAGTTTCCCCCAAACGATAGCAAGACTCCACTCTCTCCCAGTGGGACCTTCTCCTTAGTACTTCAAATAATAATCATCTTCCCGCCAAATCACATTCTTCCAATGCCAACCGGTAACCCGTCCCGTAGCCGAGCTGCATAGCATGCACGTCATTGTACTGCACGAGCACGAACCACAGTATTACGTAGATCGTGACGTGTTTAGCTACTACATGTACTACTATTGTACTAGACTAGTAGTACAGTCAGACCTCGCTTATCCGGTCCTCTTTTATCCGGATACCTCACCATCCGGAAGAAAATCATTGGTTACCCATTTACAGCATATGGCATGCATACATACAGTTTGTGTGTTCGATTATCCGGTTCCCTCGCCTATCCGGACATTTTTGTGGAAAACGGATGTGTGCGGTTATGCGAGGTCTGACTGTAGTAGTACTAGTAGGTCATGTAGACCTACATGATTGGAGTAAACTAGTAATCGGGCCGTCGTGGTGTCAAGGAAACGGATAATGGCGTCGCTCGTTTGTTTTCGCGCTATTAATAGTGAGGTTTTGCATTCCGAAATTCGGCAAAAAGATTCGGCACGGGGGAGCGAGGTCGAAAATGCACACGAAGATTCGGAGTGTTTGTTCCAGGGAGTCGTAAAATGGGTATTTTACGACTCCCTGGTTTGTTCGGAAAAAGCTCACTTTGCCGAAAATATTTTTCGGATGCATTTTCTTGTAGAAGAGCGCTAGCGCGTGATTTATTCAAAGAGGTTTCTTATCTCGGCATCGCTTGGCAGGCGTCTTTGGCGACATAGCATCGTCAGCTACATGTACCTCTGATTGCTCCTCTCCACTGCCTGTCGATTCTCTTTCGCCTGGAGTGTCCTCACCGTCTTCTGTGTGGCTGAAAAGACTATGGCGACACGCATAAAATTTGACTTGGCCATGGAGTTGGTTTTTCTGAGGCGACTGAGGAGGCAGGTTTGGCCCTCGACTCTTTGGGCGATCAAAGTTCGTTGGAATCAGCAAGAAAAGGAGCACGGGACAGGACGTTGCTGATGCTGGGGCTCACGAAATGAAAACACATCATTTTCGACTTGCAAAACAAACGTTGGTGCGAAAATTCGACATTTTGATGTTCGACAAAAGACCGAAATTCGGAATGCAAAACCTCACTAATATTATTTTTTATCATCCTGCTAAAAAAAGTGTAGCGCGGGTACAGACTGTCACCATGGTCACTCATGCTCAGTAATCTGGACATCTGTACTCTCTGTAGCCTGCACTGCATGCATGCAGTGCAGTGCAGGCTAGCGTTGGCTAGTGACTACTAAGTACTAGTGTCACACTGTCAGTAGATCTACTACAAAATGTAGTGACATGATCGTACAATTGTCATAATGTATTGTGCAGACAGTGCATTCTGGTTTTGTTGTAAAATGAAACAGAACTCATGATATTGTAGTTTAATACTAAGTCTTTACGATGTTGTTGTCTTGGACGTTGGAGCGGAGTCATCAAGACTTGCTTCGACCTTGTTAGGTCTCACAGACCTCAGAGTGACTGGCCAAATCTAGCGCAGTGAAGTCTATTGAGCAACAATATCAATTTGAAACCGGCTCAAAGCATCAACGTCAGTGACAGTGTCAGTGTGCTCTCTAGCTGCGAGAAATACAGCAATACTTTTTCGTTAGGTCTCATCTGCGGAGCTCAGAGAGACTAGTAGTAGCCACGCCGATTGCTACTGTGCGTGCCACTATGTGGAAAGTGCTAACAACTGACTGGGGCATCCGCACACGGCTTTTGTCTGCTGTCGACTAGTCAGTCTAGTGACTAGTGTCAAAGATTTATGTGCGGGTAGGGCGCACGTATCTGTACTCAGCGAGTACTGACAGTCTGTCGTAATCCTGGCGAACGCTTTGCCCTTGGGCATTATGTAGTATTACCAATGAAAGATATTGCCGCAACAATGAATCCAGAAGAGTGGAGCGTTTTCCTGCGCAACACAGCATGGCGCCGCTGGTACTGGTGATGCAGGCTGTTATGACTGGAGTCGAGAAGACTGGGTACAACAACATCCGACTGTGCTGAGGTGGTGACCTGTGGGAGATGTCACTGCGCAATGAAGTAACATCCGACTGTGCTGAGGTGGCGACCTGTGGGAGAAGTCACTGCGCAATGAAGTAAGGAAACACACGCGTGTGTAAGCACAAACACCCGCGTGTGTAAGCACAAACACCCCCCGCACACCACACACACACACACACACACACACACACACACACCTCATGCCCCCCACCCCCCCCCCCCTCCACACACATACACACACCCCACACACTCCCCCCCCCCCCCCACACACACACATACCCCCCCCCCCCCCGTGACACACACACATGCTGTTGCAGACCCGCTCACACTAACAACTAAAGCACAAATGAGCCAGCTCAGAGTTCAAGTGTTCTCACGGTGCACCGGTGGTGTACCAGCCCCACAAGTACAAGATTGACTTTGACTTTGACCATAGCCAGCAAACACAGCATAATGTGATGTAGAAGATGAATTTTTTTGACTCGACCTTATTCTCAGCATCACTTTTTCAACGAGAATGAAACAAAATCGGCTTAACGAACCCTAGAAGAAAATAATGGCGCTATAGTGAGGGGCTGACGATCGTCGCGCGATTATTGTACCCAATAAGATCGGAAATTTGAGGTAGAGAAGCTCAGCAATTATTTGAAGTCAAAGGCCAGGCAGGGATCTGTACAAATAATTATATTGGGAAATATCTGCCACTGGCCGTTTTGTTGGGAAGCAAAGCTCAGGAACAGACTAGCCCTTGGCGGATTATGCTCGGTGAATTGCTGAATTATGCTTTCCATTATGCCCAAATTATGCTAGTGAAAATGCTATATTATGCTGGAGTTATGCCAATGATGGTGCCAAAATCGGTCGCAATTTCCGCAATTGTACAGTCAACTTTGCATATAACGACACTCGGCGGGGCATCAGAAAAGTGTCCTTATTCGCGAAGTGTCCTTATACCCGAAGTCTCATTATAATTATGTATTAGAGTTAGATGGGAGTTAGCTCTGGGCATGGAAACATATGGGCCAATCGCGGTCATCCGTGCTTTTATAAGAACGAAATGGTGCTTTTAGTGACATTTTGCACACAAATCCCCATCTAATAGGGCGCAGTCACCCAGTTTCAGTGGAAGTGCGCGAGTTCGATTGGGATTCAAGTAGGAAGGGAGTGTCTCAGCTTTCTCGGACCACGCCCATTCGACTCAGCACCCCGAAGACTACAACTGGTGAAATTTTGATTTTAGCCTTAACTCCCCCTTTAAAGGTTTCGCATGATGTATTGATTCTGAAGAAGCTCGAATGTTATTTTTCAAAGATATTGGGAAATGAACGTGAGCGTAGATGTACACTATGATTCCCTGCACTCTTGTACTCTTGGTACTGCGACTCCCCGTGTTGGTGTCTTGCACCTGTGTTGAATCCTGGTTGTAACAGCACTGCAAAACTAGACGTAACACGTCCGTGTGGGTTCACTTCCTGTGATCCGTTAACACAGAGGATGCCCTCTGCAGTCGAGGACTCGAGGCGCGACTTACTTGTGCGGAGTTCATAGATCTACCCTTCACATAACAGCGCTGAAGCACGAATGTCGCACTTGTGCACACTAGCATTGTGCCTGTGGACTGCCTACGCATGGCGAACTGCGCTCATATTCACACACAGAACTGCGCTCATATTCACACACAGAACTGTGCTCATATTCACACACAGACTCTGTGTACCAAGAGTAGTAGCACATCTCGAAAAAGAAAAATCAGTTCGAATATTCGTCACCTCACGAATGTTTGTTCTGCGAAACTAAACTAACGAATGTTCGAATATTCGGGATATTCGTTTCAGCCCTAATAAAAATTACGACTCCCAGACGTCCTCGATTGTTGGCCATGCTCTAACTTCCAGAGAAAACTGACCGGAAAATAAGGAGACTGACTCAGTCACTGCGTTTACTGATCATGTCTTCCTTTTAGACTGCAGTCACATTGCATGAGCTTTTGCCCAACCAGTCGAGACGTTTTGTGCGCTTTCAGCACCATTCAGGTTACAGTCTGGTCACACTCCATTCTCAGCACCAGCTGAATGGCTGAATAATGTCCGCATGCTTTCAAATTTTTCAAATTCTATGACTTTTTATCCGGAATTACAGTGTGTGTCCGTGGGTTAGCCGAACCGGGGTCTACACTGCACCCCCTTTTTAGGCCGCAGAAATGGTATTTTTTATTGACATTCGGTGAATATTAGCCCTTTCCCAAAGATGCCATACTTTTTCGCAACCGTGTCAAAACGAATGCTAGTTGCTGAAATCGCATCCATATTTTCAGATAAAGCTCAAAAGTTGCTAATATCGCAACTAAAAATTGGAGAGTTCTTGTGCTAAAACCACCAAAAAAAGGAGCAGAAACAGCGGAAGCGCAGCGACAGCAAAATCGTACACCCCTTCCTGCTGTGAACCACCACTTTACACAGTGCCAGTAGCCTGTTGCCTGTATCCAACATCATTCCAATGCGTGGATAAGGGAATGCACATTATTGTAACTACCGTTGATCTACCGTGTCTCTGAAATGAGTCTGAAGGCAGGCGAGAAATGACCGAGTATGCATTTGTCTGACATGTAGTCGGTGACTTGACATTTTGACCCCATGCCATGGGGCCAAGGTTGCGGAAAAGTTGCGAAATAGTTCGCGAAAATGAAGAAAGTTGCGAAAGTTGCGATTTCTTCCTAAGGCCACCCTTTCTTTTTTCGTTGTTTAACGTCCGCGCCCGCGTACCTTTTTGCCTCCGACCGGAAAAAAACCCAAGAAAGTAGTAGTACCAATAATATGCGAAGTTGTAAATACATGATTGTGTAGTGTTGTGTCCTACCCCAGGTGGGTTCTACTCGGACTCATCCAGCTCGATCACACACACACTCGAGGCCATTACAGATTTCAGTTCATCTCAAACTCCTTATCCGAAAAAGACCAAGCTCACGTGCGAGCATGCGCACTACATACATATGGTCCATGTCCAGGACATGACAATTTCTCTAGAACTATGCAATAGTAAACATATCAAGATGCAATCACAAAACTCACAACTGCCGAGACATAATATTCCATGATACACTATACCCCATTATATACACCATAAATTATAATTATATACAATATCCAGCAGAGTCCAAAATATATCATTTAAACTCTACAGACTAGAATAGGTCCATATGAACTGTGTGTTCTGAACGTCAATCCTTGAAACGAACTGGTCGAACAGTAGCGCGGGTCGACCGTCGTTCAGCTTGCGGTGACGACGTCTTGCCGTAGCTGGCACGTGAAGTGCTAACCGACGCAGACTCACTAGTACCGGTTATTGCTGAGACCGGCGCGCCTAGCTCCGCTGCCGTGACACTGGCGTCGTTGCTGCTGAGTGACGCTGTGACGGAACCTGAGCTGTTAAACTTGCTCCACTCTGCTCAGACACCCCTGCATCGAACTGAGGGATTTGCCGAGGACGGAGCTGGTTGCGATGGCGTTTCCACATTGCATCACCGACTTGTATCTGATACGTCATCGGACTGAGAACTGCCGTGACCACGGCTGGGGCCCACTTATCTCCTCCTTTGCCGAAATTCAAAGCCAGGACAGATTGGCCGCACTGAAATTCCGGGGTCCCATTGCCATTCAGCAGATTTCTTCACCAGATTGTACAGAGGTACCATTATTGTTGCGAAATGAGGTATGAACCGTCGCAAGAAATTCGCCGTTCCAATGAATGATTGAAGCTCGTTAACATTCGAAGGAGCCTTAGCGTCCCGCATTGCCTCAATCTTATCCGCTGTGGGAGCCACACCAGCACTAGAAATCGTGTGACCCAGGTAGGAAATCTCATCCATCATGAAATGAAACTTACTGGGATTAAGCTTCATCCCGACCTCCTGTAGGCGACGTAGTACCCTGATCAGGTTGTTGTGGTGTTCATCCTCATCCTTCCCAGTAATCAGGATGTCATCCACATAGACGATGCACCCAGGCAGATCTGCCAATATGGATTCCATTGTGCGTTGGAAAATTGCCACTGCCGAGTGAATGCCAAACGGCAATCTCACGTATTCATACAACCCCTTGTGAGTAGAGATTGTCGTGTACGGCCGAGAAGCTGGATCAAGCTCCAGTTGGTGATAGGCTTGGGAGAGATCCAATTTGGTGAATTTATCTCCCCCCGACAATTTCGCTAACATTTCCTCAATAGTAGGTAGCGGGTAGTGCTCCAAATCAGACTTGGCATTGATTGAGCGAGAGTAATCAGCACAAATTCGGATACTACCATCCGATTTCAGTACTGGCACAGTAGGCGATGCCCATTTGGAGTGCTCAACTTTGCGAATAACTCCCTCTGCTTCCAATTTCTCCAAAGCCTCCTCGTACTTCTCCGTGATAGAGAACGGTACGGGACGCGCCTTGTGGAAAATTGGATCAGAATCATCCACTCTCAGGGTGATTTGAGCCGACCTCAGCTTGCCAACCTGAGTCGTATCGAATAGCTCCTCAAATTCCTCAATGAGAGCTCTCCTCCTACCATCCATTTGAACATGATTGACATTGACAATCTGTTTCCACGGTAGAGTAAATTGGGACAACATATCCCTGCCCAACAATGACGGACCACCATTATCCACCACACGGAGTAGTGTTGGTTTCTCCACACCATCAATGCTGACATTGAACTTCCCTTCACCAATACATTTGATTTCTGCCCCAGAAAAACCGGTCATGCGTACACTCGGTTTGGTTAAATTTGTACGAGACACCTCAAGTGACTCAAAATCATGGACAGAAATGATTGAAATGCCACTGCCCGTGTCGATTTCCATTACAACAGGAACATCATTCACAGCAATTTCCAATTTGTAGGAGGGAACAGATTTGCTCTTCAATTCGCCCTGATCCGAAATGTGGAACATTGGCATGCACTCAAGATCAGCAGATTCATGCTCACCTGCGTCATCAGTCACAACATTGTGCACCGACGCGCCTGACGTAGATTTCTGCCGACAAACACGCTCCAAGTGCCCCTTCCTGTGGCAGTGACGACACTCAATGGCCTTGTGTTTGCACTTATCCGC